CTGCTTTTCACCGGGGGCAAGGACAAACCTGTGCTGCTGCCTCCCTCGCTGAGCCTGGCAGCAGTGCCCTGGCAGCTCATCAGGGCTGCAGCTGATTGCGTGCCAGGCTGGCAGGATGGCAGCAGGGAGGCAGAGCTGCCCCGGCTAAATGCGCTCGCTCGCTCTCATCAGCCCTCTCCTTCTTCCCGGGCCCAGCATGGGGAGGCACGATGCTTTCCTCTCCTTTGGAAGGGTTTTGCTTGGCTTCTTAAGTCTCTTTAAAGGCATTTCTAGGTCTGTTAATTATTCATGACGCCTTAATTATGTTTAGGCCACTGTGATCACTCTTTCTTTGGTGAAGAAAGTTGTTATTTGTGAGTCAAAAGCTCTTTATGAAGGAGACAGGCTGGAATCGTCAGAAAGACTTGGGGGAGCAGTTGGAGTTATTAAAAGAAGCTTTGATTAAAGGCAGGGAGTTAATTTAACAAGAGTAACTGGTTTTCTCTTTCTTTTTTTCCCTGGGTGTGCAGAACAAAGCACAGCCAGGGATGTGTCAGGGCTCACCTGGAGCAGCAGGACTCACTCAGATGCCCCAGGAGATGGGCAGATCCTTCCTTTTATCTCTTTTGGCTGCTGTGAATGGCTCCTGTCCACAGGCTTAGAAATGAAATTTGGCTGTAAGGGTGAACCTCAGAGCAGCTGCCTTTGATGCTGCCAGGCTCAGGGCAGACTGGCTGAAAACAGCCTGGTGTGTCCTGTTTGATGTGAAAATATCGTTTATTCTGCTGTGTTTGGGAGGGGAGGGGGCACTGCAGCTCCTCATTTTCCCTCTGTCACGGTGGCACTGAGGTGAATCATCCACCAGGGAGAATTCAGCCTCGTTTGAACTCAGCAGTTCTGGAGATTCTGGTTTCTGCACAAGCTGAGGATTATTCTGTGTTGGATCAAAACTGAGTAAACCTTTGGATCTGAAATGCCATTAAACTGAAAATTTAGCGTGTTAGTTCTTGGACATGGACAGACAGCTTTCTTCCCCAGCAGTGGGAAGGATTTTCTTTGTACAATTTTTTCTTCTTCTTTTATATAAAGAAAATAATCTTTATTTTTAAAGTGCTGATTAAGCCTGGCTGAGGGTCCACCTGCACAAACACCAAACCTGAGTGTGTAGCCTGAGAAACCAGTGCAACATAAATTAAAATATTCCAAAATAAATGAATTAAGTCGTCCAGCATGAATCCAGCTGGGCACCTCTGCCTTCCACCCCTTCCTCCTCCCTTCCTCCCCAGCCCACCGCTGCCTGGGAGAGGAGAGACATTTCAGACCATTTCCTTTCTGTCTGTGCCTTTCTGCATCTTTCCTTCCTCGCGTCTGATTCTCGTGGCTGCAGGCAAGGCAAACACCAGGATTCTCAAGGATAGACAGGGGTAAGGGAGGAAAATGGAAAATAGTCTGAAAAGCAAGTCAGAAAAAGGCAAATCTCGTGTGAGGGCAGCTTTTCCTCTGTGTGTTTGAGCTCTGCAGCAGAACCACAGCCCCCTGGAGCCTGACCCTCAGAGCTGAGAGTAAACCAGAACAAAACAAGCAGAGGGACATCGGGGTGGCTTGTGCAAGTCTCTATTTAATGACAGTGCTGCATGAAGACATTGGTTGGTGTCACATGTACCTGTGATGGGCATTTATACATTCCTGACTCCTGGGGAGCCGTGGTTGCACTGGAGATTTTCACCACAAGAGGTAGTGGCTTTATTTTTCCTGTTTTCCTTTTTTTTTTTAATATTATTTTTTTATTTCAGCAGGATTGGATAAGCTGGTTAGACCTACTGGAGTTCGTGTACTCTTCAGCCAGGAAGATTAACAGCTCTGTGGAGTGGGAGCAAGCAGGCAAGCAGCAAATACAGTGCAGGCAGAATTCACTGGCTTTTAATTCAAACCTGTTTGGGGGTGCAGAGGTCCCCACCCAGGGCTTCAGCAAGCTGGGAATCACAGGGAGGGAAAGCAGGAACAGGAAGACTCAAAAAGCAGAACGAAAGCTTCAATTATAAATAATGAATCCCAAAAGAGGGGCTAGAGCAAGGCTCTGGAGTTCTGGAGGAACAAAGAAATGAAATCTTCTGCTTAAGGTGTTTTTAAAAACCAGCTCAGTGCCCTTCCCATCACCAGCAGAGGTCCTTGGGGAAGCAGAGGTTTGTTTTTTCCAGGGTGGAAGGAACAGTGAGGTTTGCCAGGTCAGAGCTGTGGCAGAGGCTCCCAAGTCCCTCGGGGTGGGCTCTGAGGAGCTCCCACAAACAGCTCCCACGTTCTCCTTGTGTCAGCACACTCTGCCCTTGCTCCTGGCACTGCCTCCCTCCTTGGCAAGCCAGAGGTGAGGATGACTTTGGTGCTGTCTCCAGAAGGGGAAGGCTCAGTCCTGGGTTTCAAAGTGCTTCGTTTGTCGTCTGGAAGTGCAGGAGTTTTGTGGGGAAGGAAAACCTGCTGCAGAGACGGCCAGACCTGGCACTGCCACCTTCCCAAGGGCACCGGGGACATTCACATTCCCACAACTTAGCCTGGAGTGTGAGGAAGGAGCAGCTTAAAGCGTCCTGGGGGTGAAGGGTGGGCTGCAGGTAATTCCTCACAGCCAATACTGCAGCTCTGGGAAATCCATCCTATTCACACCTGGGGGTTTTGCTCCACATGAAGGACAGAGGCTTTTCCTGCAGCTTTTTTTCCCTCCGTGGCATTTTGGAAGAGTTTTTCAGGCAGTGGTTCAGGTGGCTTGAGCTATAAGGTTCTGCTTCTAGATTCAGAAAAAAAAATTGGGAGCGAGGTACACAACACTGGAAGGAGGATTTTCTTGGGTTAAAACTGGACACAAAGTAAAATCATGGCACAAAGTGAAGATATTATCCACGTTATCCTGAGGGAAATTATTATTCCACTTATCCTGAGGGCTCACACCAGGCTTTAGTACAGGGCAGACTTCACCTATGACAACTTCCAAATATTTTAAAGCTTTTTTTGTCTATATATGTAATATTTGCTATTTTTGTTCAGCTCCCCGCCTGTTAATTCCCCAAGTCAAATGGATCTTTCTGCTTATAAATACATTAAAAGATGGACCAGTAGCTTGTTGCTATTTTTCTGCCCCAAAACCTTGCATCATTCTGTGACTATTGGGTACAAGTCTGAGTTGATTCCCATCACTGAGGGAATTTGGTGAAAACTGAGGGGAAGAAAGAACAGCTCATGTGTGCCTGAGATCTCTCGAGTTGGCGTTCCCAATTTTGCAGTTTTTAGCTGTGAAGAGCCAGGTTCAAATGTTACACAAGGCTGTGGGCTGAAAATCAAAACCCCTGGATCCCAGCCCATTCCAGGAATGCCAGCTTTGGAACAGCAACCTGTGGATTAAGGTGGGACTGCTGCTTCCATTTTAGAAAACAGCTGAGATTATGTGCTAGAGCTGCTTGGTGTAATCTCCTCCTGACTCAGAGCTGGAACACATCCTGCCAGCACAGGAGAGTGCTCTGTTAGCAGCACAGGAAATCCAGGGAATTAAAGGAAACCCTGGCAGATCTCCACCTCATCTGAAGCAGAAACGGAGTGAATATTCCACAAACTGCATAGAGAAAAAAGGGATTCTATTGCTCTCCCAATTGTGTTTTTACTCCTTTAGAAAACAGCAGGAAACTGCACCCTGGGAGCCTGCCCCTGTTTATGGCTATTGCAACCCTCTGCTGCTCCACATCCTGCAGGAATTTCTAGCCAGACCTATTTCCACCTTGCTTTATTCACCTTGCTGTGTTTTATTTACAGAGATATTGCAAAATATCATGTGAACTGAGTACAAACAGCACGTACAGCGTGGGTTTGGCAGTGCCAGATTCAGCGTGGTGAAATGATGCTCTTGTGGGGCTTCCATTCCTAAAATCCATGGAAAAATAGATAGCAGAGAGTAAGGGATGCTGGAAACATCCAGACCTTTCCAGAGTCCAGCTTGGACACAGGAGCTGGTCCAGGTAGGGGCTTTCTTGGCTTTTTATTCTGGCTTTTTCCAAAATGCACAGTTTTATCTCCTTGACTGTTGATTTAAATTAGGCACAATGTTATTCTGCACTCTCTGGGGAGAGACAGAGGCAAATCAGACCCGAGGTGCTCCTTGGGGCCCCTGATTTAGGTGAGAAGAACCAGCCCTGGCCTGGCTGGCGTGCTCAGGGTGCCCCCCTGGCACAGTGTCCTCGTGTCTGTACATTCACCACGCTGCCACCCCTCCCCTGCTGTCACCCTGGGCAGAGCCTGGAGATGAGATGCTGGTGGGCAGAAATCACTGATGGGAGGTGAGGGGGTCCTTGGATGTACACCATGCAAGACAAGGTTCCCACTCCTTGAGTTTCTCTCTCCATCTCTTTTATGTTTTTTGGCTTGGGGCTCCAAAATCCCTCCTATTCATTGCTATTTACACCGATGGTTTGACGTGAGACTGATGCCCCCTCCTCCCTTCCACCCATGGCTTGTAGGCTCACACTGCTGCAGGGTCTGTGGGTGGCAGAACCGTCTCCACCCGCCTGGGGACCTCTGAAAGTTTTTTGTGTTGTTTTTTATGTAATTTCCGAAGGCTTCAGCAGTTCAACACCGGGTGAGTCAGCTCGAGGTGAAGGCAAAGCTATTGCACGGAGCTGGCAGAGGCCCTGGCTGGCTCCTGCTCCAAGCGGGAAGGATGGCCTTGTCTTTGGTGAGAGTTGTGCCGCTGACCCAGCGCTACGTCCTGCTGGCCCCGTGGCCACTCTGTGTCCAGGGCACTCCAGGCCGGGTGGCCACGGGCGAGAACCGAGCGAGAGCGCCTCGATCCTTGCGCTTCCACTTCCACCACAGCGCGAGGGTGGCTCTGAAAAGCGCCCTTGGGGCCGGTCCAGAGGTCACCCAGCGGGGCGAGAGACCCTCCCACCTCGTTCCATCCCCAGCAGGCGCTCGGGCACCGAGCGGTGCCCAGCTCAAGAGCTCCAGCCCCCTCCCCGGCTGCCCCGCCGTGCATGGATGGCATCGCTTCCTCTTCCCCCTGCGTTCCTAAAAAAAATGCGGGTGCTGTTTGTGACTTTTAGCAGTGGAGGATCTTCATGAAAGCCTTGCGAAACTCGATGTTGAAGGTGGTGTAGATAATCGGGTTGACAGCGCTGTTGACATAGCCGAGCCACGTGAAGGCGCTGTACATGGCCGGCGGGATGTTGCAGTCGCAGTGCATGTTCAGGATGTGAGTGATGAAGAAGGGGAGCCAGCAGATGATGAAAACACCTGGGGGGGAAAAAAGGAGAGAGGAGGGTTTTGATTGCTGAAAGCTGGGCAGCTTCTCAGCAAGGTTCTCTTTGGTGGAAGGGGAATTTATTTCCCAGAGGAATGAGATTTGTGTTTGCGTGCTCAGTGTCCTGGTCTGCGTTCTGCCCTGGTACTAAAGAACTCCTCTGCTCGTGGAACGAGCCCAGACCCAGCAGAAACTCTACCCTTCAAGGGTGCCAGCTCTGCTGAGCTCTGCTGCCTTTTGCTCCAGCAAGCCCAGGAGCTCTCCCCTGTTTTGGGAGCTCAGATGCCCCCGAGAGGGGCAGCTTTGGGCACCCTTAGTGCAGCACTGTGCGTGGCCGGGGAGGAGGGACCCTCCCCTGGGCAGCCCTTTGCCTGCTATCCTCTGATGTGTGAAGGGAAATGGGTTCTGAGGGAGGTTGGGAAATCAGCCTGCACGGGACACGGGCGCTGGCATTTCTGCAGGGAGCCCAGGGCAGCCAGGGCACGCTCTCACCGAGCACGATGGCCAGCATCTGGGTGGCTTTCTTCTCCTTCTGCTGGGACAGTTTCCTCCTGATCACGGCCTTGAGCAAGTTCCTCGTCTTGCCGTTGGGCAGGGAGTGGATCTCGAAGACCTTGGCTGTGTGGTGGGATTCTTTGGCGTGGCCGTTCTTCTCCACCTTCCCAGGGCTGCTCAGGGGTGCCTGCAGGGTAGAGTTGTTGCCCCGATTAGAAGCAACTGGCACAATCAACTGGTGGTTACTTGGTGCTGTGGGTTTGAGGGCCGTTTTCTCAGGGGGACTGGTACTGGACACCATCTCCATTTCCATCTCTTCTATGTGACTCTCTGCCTCCTGGACAAGAATCAAATGTCCACAACATAATGACAGGTAAATACACAGAGAGGAGCAACGAGCATTCCTTACAGAGTGAAGCTGGATGATGCTGGAGAACAGTCAGTCCCTCTTCTCCCTCCCTGCCTGGCACCTGGAGGAAGGGCTGTGCTGTGTTTGGCTATTCTGGGCAGGTGGGATGGACAGAGCTGCACTGGAGGATTCTCCTTTTTGGCACAAAGAGGCTCAGAAATGGGGGAGACGCTGTCTCCACTCTCTACAGATTTTATTCAGGTTTTCAGAATGCAAATGAATAAAAATGGAATCGACAACCAAAACCCAACAAAGCCAGTGCAGTCCAAGATTTAAATAACAGAGAGGAGAAGGAAATCAAAGGCACAAAAATGTTCAAATGCCGTGGCTTTTAGAGCTGATCTTTCGGTGAGCTTAATCTGGCTTTGTGAGCTCTGTGAGCTTAAACCCCCTGCTTCACTCCAAGGAATGGGAAGACTATTTAAATTTTGAGATTGAACGGTAACCTTTGCTCTTAGGTTTATTTTTCTCCCACCCTACATAAATTAACCTCATGTCCTGAGGGAGAAGGGGAAGGCTGAAGGCTCTGGAAAGCTCCCACTTCTCTTTTAACACTCACCACTTTGCGCTTATTAACTTGGAAGCTCCCATTGGACTTCACAATAACTGTGCAGAGCTTGACGTCTTCTGGATGAGTGCATTTGTCCTAAGGGGCAAGCACCAGCTCAGAGGTTACACAGGCAGAGAGGGGTTGGGAAGGGAAGCTGGTAAGGGAGGCACGTGGGAATGCAAAGGGATGAATCAGGAGCTCATCAGCGCGGCTGAGGAGCCGAGCAGGATGGAGAACTGATGGAGAACTGCCGTGGAGGAGCAGGGATGGAGGCTGCTACCCCCTGTGCTCTCCACCAGAGGAAGGAGGCCACGAAGCTCTGCTGTGTTTGTGTGTCCCTGTGTCACTGCCTCCTCTGCAGGCAGCAGGGTTTGGAGATGGAGCATGCCCCTGGCTGTGCTGCCAGAGCCCTGCTTTGACAAGAGGAGTCACGGCCAGCTGGGCTCCCTCACACGCAGCTCCTGCAGGGAGAGGCTGGTCCTGCACAGCTGTCCTTCCCAGGGCCCAGGCACTGCCACTGAGCTCTGGGGACACCTGACAGGAGCTGTGGGGACACCTGACAGGAGCTGTGCACCCCCGGCACTGCCACTGAGCTTTGGGGACACCTGACAGGAGCTGTGCACCCCCGGCACTGCCACCGAGCTTTGGGGACACCTGAGAGCCTAAAGGGGGAGGTTCCAGGAGATCTGGAGAGGGGCTTGGAGTGGTAAGGCACGAGGGAATGGCCTTAAATGAAGGAGGATGGGTTTAGATTGGATATTAGGGAGGAATTCCTCCCTGGGAGCGTGGGAGGCCTGGCACAGGGTGTCCAGAGAAGCTGTGGCTGCCCCATCCCTGGGATTGTCCAAGGCCAGGTCGGATGGGGCTTGGAGCCACGTGGGATGTGGAAGGTGTCCCTGCCCATGGGCTTTCATGTCCCTCCTGACCCAAACCATTCTGTGATCCTGCAGGACTGACTCACACACGGTGCAGCCTCCTGGCTACCCCAGCCCAGCCCAAGGCAACGCTCGGGGTTACTGCAGCAGCTCCTGGTGCAGATCTGCTGCTGGAACAGCCCTGAGATCCAGCGAGGAGCCCCAGCCAGCCAGCTGGGAACCCACGGCGTGCAGCCGGGACCCCAAACCCGCCACAGCACCCACCTTTGGGAGATTTGGGTGGTGTGGGGCAGGGGGAGCAGGGCAGGGGGAGGGTGCAGAGGCTGGTACCTTCAGGGGGGCCTGCGTGTCCGAGTCCAGCACGTGGCTGCTGCGCTTGGTGCTGACGCGCTTCCTGCGCCGCCGCAGCACGATGTAGATCTGCACGTACACCAGCAGCGTGACGATGAAGGGCACGTAGAAGGACACGATGGAGGAGTACACCACGAAGGCAGGGTTGCCAATGATGCACTCCTTCTCGTCTGGAAGAGAAAAGCTTGCAGGGCTGGCGTCCCCGCTGAGGGGGTCGCCGCGCTGGCTGCCCTGGGGCTGGAGGGAGTCACATCATCCCCAAAAACTCCTGCTGCTCCTTGCCTTGCAGCTCAGCACGGCTGATCCCGTGCTGCATCCAACCAGCATTGCCAGGAAACTGCTGCCTGAACTGCCAGTCCTTTCCTCTCCTGCCTCGGGGAAGGTTTTGTCCCACGGCTTTCCTTTTTGTGTGTTTTAATAGAGGGAGGATTTTGAATTTGTAGTGGACAAATGTTAAGGTAACACAGATTGGTGTTGTGTGAACTTTTACATCACCTCAGTCCTGGTGAGTGTGAAACCCTGCTCTGGAACAGCTGGAGATGAAACACACCCAGAATCAGCGTGCAAACAGTGAGAGGTGGCAGTGGGAGAGAACAGTTCCAAAATACACCTCGGACCTGATCCCACCTTTATTCCTGCCTGTCTGGGAGGACAGCAGGAGGCAGCTGCAGGTGGCAGAGGGACAGAACACTTCAAATACACCTCAGACCTGATCCCACCTTTATTCCTGCCTGTCTGGGGAGCCAGGAGGACAGCAGGAGGCAGCTGCAGGCAGCAGAGGGACAGAACACTTCCAACACACCTCAGACCTGATCCCACCTTTATTCCTGGCAGTCTGGGAGGACACCACTGCAGGCAGCAGAGGGACAGAACACTTCCAACACACCTCAAACCCGATCCCACCTTTATTCCTGGCAGTCTGGGAGGACAGCAGGAGGCAGCTGCAGGCGGCAGAGCCCTCACCTGTGTTGTTGAGGCCGAAGAGGAGCGGGCAGGAGATGGCAAAGGAGAGCACCCAGACCACGGCGATCATGACGGTGACCCTGCGCTTGGAGCTGTAGCGGGTGTTGTAGAGCATGGGCATGGCCACGGCCGTGTACCTGCAGGGGACACACCCCAGGCTGCTGTCACCCTGCCACTGCCCAGCTCCTGCCCAGCTCGTGTGTCCAGGGCGGCTGCAGACACACCAGGAGGGTTGAGGCTGGGTCAGCTCAGCATGAAGTTCTCCTCCACCCTTCCCACCAACGCCCCTGCACCACCCCAGAGCACAAAGAGAAGTGCCAGGCCCGTGGGACACAGAGCAATTCCATCTGCAGCCCCAGGAGCAGCGTTTCTGTGCCTCCTGACAGAACTCCCTGCTCACAGCTCGTCGAGATCCTCTAAGCTGCTCTCCAAAAAACTCCCACTGGTTTTGAGCCCCTGAGTCCCAGGTAAACTGTGACCACACAGAGGTGGCTGGGACTTGCCACCCTGGGGTTGGCACAGCCTGGTGGCACAGAGCCCTCACCTGTCAATGCTGATGGCACAGAGGTTGAGGATGCTGGCAGTGCACATCATGACATCCAGGGTGACAAAGATGTCGCAGTGGATGCGACTGAAGCGCCACTCCCCCACCACCTGCAGAGAGAGAAGGGGCTGGTGAGCAGTTCCTGGGGCTACTGGGCAATCCCTGCGGCTGGAGAGAAATTCCTGGGGCTGGAGAGCAATGCCTGGGGCTGGAGAGCAATCCTTTGGGGCAGATGAGCAATCCCTGGGGCTCATGAGTAATCCCTGGGGTTGGTCAGCAATCCCTGGGGCTGGTCAGCAATCCTTTGGGGCAGGTGAGCAATGCTTGGGGCTGGAGAGCAGTTCCTGGGGCACCTGTCAATGCTGATGGCACAGAGGTTGAGGATGCTGGCAGTGCACATCATGACATCCAGGGTGACAAAGATGTCGCAGTGGATGCGACTGAAGCGCCACTCCCCCACCACCTGCAGAGAGAGAAGGGGCTGGTGAGCAGTTCCTGGGGCTACTGGGCAATCCCTGCGGCTGGAGAGAAATTCCTGGGGCTGGAGAGCAATGCCTGGGGCTGGAGAGCAATGCCTGGGGCTGGAGAGCAATCCTTTGGGGCAGATGAGCAATCCCTGGGGCTCATGAGTAATCCCTGGGGTTGGTCAGCAATCCCTGGGGCTGGTCAGCAATCCTTTGGGGCAGGTGAGCAATGCTTGGGGCTGGAGAGCAGTTCCTGGGGCTGGAGAGCAATCCTTGGGGCTGGTCAGCAATCCCTGGGGCTGGTCAGCAATCCCTGGGGCTGGTCAGCAATCCCTGGGGCTGGTCAGCAATCCCTGGGGCTGGTCAGCAATCCCTGGGGCTGGTCAGCAATCCCTGGGGCTGGTCAGCAATCCTTTGGGGCAGGAGAGCAGTTCCTGGGGCTGGAGAGCAATCCTTGGGGCTAGTGAGCAATCCTTTGGGGCAAGTGAGCAGTTCCTGGGGCTGGTCAGCAATCCCTGGGGCTGTGCTGGGCCCAAGGCAGAGCTCTGCCCCTTCCAAGGGGCTGCTGAGGTTCCCTCCCCTGCTCTCTGTGGGTTTGGGCAGCCCCAGCACAAAGCTGGGCTCACGTTCCAGTGCCACCGGGGAGCACAAGGCTCCTCCAACTCACAAGGGAAGATAAAGGAGCTTAAACAGCTCCCTGAAGCATTTCAAGGCAGAATGAGGAGGGGAATACATTCATTTTGATTCCCAAGCACCTCTAATTTTACTTACAGCTTTTTCCCAGACAGTTTTTTCCAATTACACCCAACAAAGGTCAGCAGCAGACAAGCAAGAGCTTCCCTTCATTTCTTAGTTTAAAAAATCGGGGTAGGCATTCCTCACCTTTTTTATTTTTGGTGAACAAAATGAGTTTAATTCAGAGTGAAAGCCTTTAACACTCCACACGATGTGCTAAAGACAAAGAACTAATGATAACACTTCCAGGCACCAGTAGCCTTTTTTCTCTTCACTTCTCTTGCTGTTGAAGCTGAACTTTGCCAATTAAGTTTAATAGCAATTATTCGGACTGCTGTGTTTGACATGTGATGAAAAAAAAGTATATTTCCCTCTAACAAAAATAGAGCCCTACTGCATTTGAAAATAGAATGAATAAGATATCTATTCTTCAGTTATTTCTGCTCTGATATACATAACCATAGGCAGCATAAAGAAGGGAGAATGACTGCATTGAAGCCTGAGTGACAGATGAATACTCAGTGATTAAAAAAGCACTTAAGAGACAGTTACATCAGGAACTTTGAGGAGAATTTGCCCAAAGGCAAAGGTTTCCAGCCAGATCCAAACCTCTGGGAAACCAATTTCCCGAGGGCATGGTTTGGGGGAAGCTGGGAGCTGCAGCAGTTCTTTCTCTTGGTGTTTTCACTTGTGTTGGAGAAGCCTCCAGAATTTGGGGGTAAAATATCTGTTTGTACCAAATCTGGGCCGTTTTCAAGTGTTTCATTTTGATTTTGAGTTTTAGGCCAAGCCTGTGACACAAAACCTGGAGAGAATTGTCCCAGCTGGCAGGTGAGGCAGCTGTGGTTCCTGACCAGCCCTGCACGTGAGCCCAGAAAAGAGAGAGAATTTTGCATCATTTGTGGTTTGTTCTTCTGCCTGAAAATTAAAAAGGGTCTGAGAGGTTCTGGCTGGACCTGAGGGAGCAGGAATTTCTCCCAGCACCAGCCTCTGCTTCAAACTGGTGGAAAAGGAAGGGCAGAAGGAGATGGAAGCCTCAGAGGCAGTGCCTGCCTCCCACCAGCCCATTGGCCACGTTAATGAGCTTCCAGCGCCATGAAAACAATCATTAACTCGGTGATAATTAGCAATGTGCTCTCTCACAGCCCGGGCCACCTCAGTGGCTTTGTTTTGCTTTGCATCAGGACTCCCCTGCTCTCCTCCGTGTGTTATCATCCCTCCCATGAGTGAGTGAGTGGACACTCAGCATGGTTTGTGCTGAAGGCTGAGCTGTGAAAAGTGATTTTTTTTTCCCCTTATATTGTGATATAAAGCTGCGGATTCCCATCCTGCTTCCATAATTGCTTCAGAAACAGGGCCTTGATTGCTTTTTTTTTTTTCTGATTGCTGGATTCAATGATCCTTGTGGGTCCCTTCCACCTCCACAAATTTCATGTGGTTTCAGTGTGATGCCCATGGTGGAGTTTTGAACACAGAACTGGGGTCCTTTCCCTCTTGACCCTGAGTTTCTGGTGCAACTGGGCCATCATTTAGCCCTCTGAGCAGCAACGGGGTTTCAAACTACCTGCTCTCCCATCCTTCTCCTGGAAAAAAATGACAATTTCAGGGATAAAAAAGCTACAATTTCAGGAACAGAAAAAAACCACAATTTCGGGAACGAAAAAACCTACACTTCAGGGAACAAAAAAACCTGTATTCAGGGCACGAAAACCACTTGGGGAGGATTCAGGAGGCTGACTTCCAGGCTGCTGAACCCTCCCCATCCTTCCTGGAGCCACATCCCGAGCCCTTACCTCCATGTAGACCACCCAGGGCATGCAGAGCGTGGCCACCAGCAGGTCAGCCACGGCCAGGCTGACGATCAGGTAGTTGGTGGTGGTCTGCAGGGCTCTCTCCCTGGACACTGCCATGCACACCAGGACGTTGCCGAAGACGATGATGAAGATGAGGAGGGCGAGCAGCACGGCGTAGTAGTTGTAGTGCGGCTTCTGCGCCGCCTCCGAGGCGTTCAGGGCCCTGCTCCAGTTCCTGTCCCCGTCGTACCACGAGAGGTTGAGGGGATCCATGGGGGCCCAGGTGCCGGCTGCCAGCTCCACCCTGCCACTGGGTGGGGGAGAGGATGGTGGGTCAGCGGTGGAAAAAATGGAAAAGTGAGAAAAAGAAATGAAAAAAGTGAAAAAAAAAAATAAATAAAATCAGGTTTCTGCTGCCTCGCTCGTGACGTGCCCAGGGAGGTGGTGGAGTTACCATCCCTGGGGGTGTTTAACAAAACCTGGATGGGCACTGGGGGCCAGGGTTTAGTGAGGTGCTGGGGCTGGGTTGGACTCGATGATGTTTAAGGTCTCTTCCAACCCAGCAATTCTGTGAATTCTGTGAATTTTGGGAATTCCCAGGGACCAGGGATGTGGTGGAGTCACCATCCCTGGGTATGTTCAAAATAAGCCTGGATGGGCACTGGGTGCCAGGGTTTAGTGAGGTGTTGGGGCTGGGTTGGGTTCAATGGTCTTGGAGGTCTCTTCCAACCCAGCAATTCTGTGAATTCTGTGAATTTTGGGAATTCCCAGGGACCAGGGAGGTGGTGGAGTCACCATCCCTGGGTATGTTCAAAACAAGCCTGGATGGGCACTGGGGGCCAGGGTTTAGTGAGGGGTTGGGGCTAGATTGGGTTCAATGGTCTTGGAGGTCTCTTCCAACCCGGTGATTCTGTGAATTCTCTGAATTCTGTGAATTTTGGGAATTCCTAGGGAATGGGGAGGTGGTGCAGTCAGCATCCCTGGGTGTGTTTAACAAAGCGTGGATGGGCACTGGGTGTTGAGGCTGGGTTGGACTCAAGGATCTTTAAAGTCTCTTCCAACCTGGTGATTCTGTGATTTCCCTGAAGCCTGTTCTCCCTGCCCTGGTGAATGTTTGGCTGGAAGTGGGATGGATGCAGAGCTACTTATCCAGGCAGGGATTGCAGAACTTGGTTTTTACTGCCAGTTCACCCCCAGGTTTCTGTGCCAGTGACTCAGTGTTACAGCTGCCTCAGGCACAGTGCCTGGGATGTTTTGTGCCCTGCCATTCCCTGCTCCCTCTTAGGTGTGCACAGTTCAGGGCAGAAGTTCCATGACCCACTTTGTTTATTTTCCATGTGCTTCGTGGGGCTTTGGGCTGTATTCCTTTCATTTTTTTTTTCTTTTCTCTTTTCCTTATATGTTTTTTTTTTCCCTCCAGCAGTGAAATAAATAAATTTTAAACCCCTAGACCTGAACAGTGACAATGATGGGACCTGACAGCAGCAGCTTTTGCAGTCAGGGCTGGGCTGTGCTGCCTCTGCCATTGCCCCAGTGAGGTGACAGTGAAGGGGCACATGGTGGGGACAGCTCTGCTGCCACCCCACAGCCCTCAGCACCTCCTGGCACTGGCAACATGGCTTTCCTGGTTTTCCTTGGAAAATCTTATCACAGCAACACCCCCAGCATTCCCTGGCCCGTGGCCATGAGCTGTGCCCTCCTCCAGAGGTAAAACATAAAAAACCTTGGGATTCCTGTGCAGTTCCTAAATCTGTGGGAGCCCTGCTGCTTGTTTTACCCACTGAGAGTGCCTTCTGGACTTTTCTGTCCCTCTGTGCTGTCACAACACCCTAAAGAAATTCTGCTGCTGGGACAGAGGTTTGCGTGCCATTAACTTGAAATTCAGAGAACAAAATCTCCTCTGTGCTGAGGGAGGTGAACAAACCAAGCTCGAGGAGGATGTGGGGAGTGGAGAGCAGCTCTGGGTGCTGCTGGTTTGGGTCTCTCTCTGGTGCCAGGGTATGAAAATGTAAATTCCATATTTGCAGGGAGACCTGCAGGATGTTTGGCCCCTGGGAGAGGTTTCTCCTGTCCCCTGAGAGAGGTTTCTCCTGTCTCCTGGGAGAGGTTTCTCCTGTCTCCTGGGTGAGGTTTTCCCTGGCCCAGGGCGAGGTTTTTTCTGTCCCCTGGGAGAGGTTTTTCTTGATCCCTGGGTGAGGTTTTTCCTGTCTCCTGGGAGAAGTTTTTCCTGGCCCTTGGGAGAGGTTTTTCCTGGACCCTGGGAAAGGTTTTTCCTGGACCCTGGGAGACATTTTTCCTGGCCTCTGGGAGAGGTTTTTCCTGTCTCCTGGGAGAGGTTCTTCCTGGACCCTGGGAAAGGTTTCTCCTGGCCCCTGGGAGAGGATTTTCCTAATCCCTGGGAGAGGTTTCTCCTGTCCCCTGGGAGAGGTTTTCCCAGGTCCCTGGGAGACATTTTTCCTGTCCCCTGGGAGAGGTTTTTCCCAGTCCCTGGGAGAGGTTTTTCCTGTCCCTTGGGAGAGGTTTCCCTGGCCCCTGGGAGAGGTTTTTCCTGATCCCTGGGAGATGTTTTCCCTGGTCCCTGGAACAGGTTTTTCCTGGCCCCTGGGAGAGGTTTTTCCTGATCCCTGGGAGATGTTTTCCCTGGTCCCTGGAACAGGTTTTTCCTGGCCCCGGGAGAGGTTTTCCCTCTGTGTGGGAGGATTCCTGATCTCCTGCCCAGGTGGGTTCCCTGCAGAGCTGCCAGGGCAGGGCTCTAACGAGGGACTTCCCCACACCACACCTGAGTCCCGCCTGGAGAAGGGATTTCCACCCAGCAGAAGCAATCTGGGCTGGAACCTGAGAACCCCCTCAGTTCATAAATCACTCCTGACCTCTCCAGAACCCAGCCAGCAGGAAAGGCCAACACCTGCCTGGGAGCCCCTGAGCCTTTCACAGAGGCCTCACCTTGTGCCAGGGAGGTTTATTTGGATATTGTGGGGAAAACATCCATGGAAAGGGTTGTCAGGCACTGGGACAGGGAGTGCTGCAATCAGCATCCCTGGAAAGGCCCAAAACCCTCGGATGTGGCTCCCGGGGCTGTGCTGCTGCTGGCTTGGCCAGGCTTTTCCCACCTAAATAATTCCGTGTTTCTGGGGCCTCATGCCCTGCTCAGCCCTTCCTAGGATCAAATATTCCATGTCTGAGGGAGGGATCAAATATTCCATGTTTGGTGGGAAGGATCAAATATTCCATGTTTGAGGGAGGGATTAAATATTCCATGTTGGATGGAAAGATCAAATATTCCATGTTTGATGGGAAGGATAAAATGGAATATGTTTGAGGGAAGGATCAAATATTGATCAAATATTCCATATTTTGTGGAAGGATAAAATATTCCATATTTGAGGGAACGATCAAATATTGATCAAATATTCCATGTTTGGTGCAAGAATCAAATATTCCATGTTTGGGGGAAGGATCAAATATTGATCAAATATTCCATGTTTGGTGCAAGAATCAAATATTCCATGTTTGGGGGAAGGATCAAATATTGATCAAATATTCCATGTTTGGTGCAAGAATCAAATATTCCATGTTTCCCAAGCTGCATCTCCACAAAGACCACACTGGGAGATCTGGCCCTGCTCTCAGACACCCCAAACCAAGGCCACTTAATTTCCTTCATAAAAGACAAAAGCGACTTCGATTTATTAAACCACGTAAGTGATCAAAATAGCAAAACATTTGCAAATATCAAATTCACCTGGGAACAATGGTTTCTTTATGTTTCACTGAGCTTTTGTGTGCTTTTCTCATTCAGAGAACAATTTGGATAATAATCCTTGGAAATTTGTTGCATATGGGTCCTTAATAGCTGATAATTCAAAAAGTGTCTGTCTGACAGTGCTATCAGCAGCACTTGATAGCTCTACAAATGTCTTCTTAGGAGCTGTCAAAGTGTCAGAAATTAATTAAATGTTAGCTTCTGTGACTCAGAGTGAAGGGGAAAAAATCAATGCTAAATACAGCAACAGTTTTTTCTCCTCTCCTGTTGCCCTTTCATAATGCAAAACTATCTCGAGGAGGCAGAACCATGCAGAAAATGTAGGGTGGGACAAAAAAAAAAAATTAAAAGAAAAAAGCAGGGGCATGGAGAAGTGTCTTTGAGGTGTAAAAGGGTTTGAGATGGGCAGGACCAGCCCCTTGGGCCTGTGCTGGATTTTCTGAGCTCTGGGTGCAGGAATAAAATTGGCTTTAAAAGGGAAAGGCCACAGAGAGGGAGATGGGCTCAGCAATTCCAGCCTTTTCCAGGCTGTTCCAGCTCCCTGCTGGAGTTGGAGGAGTCATTTATAGCTCATCTCTTGTGTCCATTCATCAGCAATTTACTCAATGGTGCTTAGGGAGTGTGTAAAAATCCCTGGATAAAGTAATCAACATTTCCCTTCATTTCCTTCCTGTCTTCCTCAGGATTTTTTTTTTTTTCTTTAAATAGAACTATTTTCACAGTAATAATTTTTGTCCTTATATGCGTCGTGGGGAAAGTTAATGTTTGAGTATTGTACAAAGGAAAAGATTTGGTGTTTCTATTTAAAAAAAAATAAAAAGTTTTCATTTGGGAATATGAAACAGAAGAAAAGTTCCAAATATTTTGCATGTAAGAGGGAAATTTAAACACCAAAATCTAGGAATTAAAACGGTGTGATCACACAATTAAAGGCTGTATCCAGTACACATCCTCGTGGTACAAACTACAGCTACATGGACAACTCTGTAAATTCCCAGCTTTGCAAAACTGGAGTTTTCAGCCCTAAAAAGAAGCTTCTCTTCCCCAGCCCTGGCAGCGTTTGGAAGCATTCTTGGTGGCCATTAAGGAGGTTTGTGAGTCTCTCAGTCCTGCTTTGAGCAGCAATTTGGATTTCAGTGCTGACAGCTCCTCAGAAAGAGGAAAGAAAGGAGCACTTAAAGAGCTGGCTGGGGAAGGGAGAGCTTTCCCCTGCCCAGCCCAAAAACTGCATTTTCCTGGGGAAAAGGGAGAGGGAAGGGATTAAAAACCACAGGGAAAAAAAAAGGCACAAACAGCACCTGGCTCTGGCCTGGCTGAAGCTCCTGAACAGAGATAAAACCGAGCCTTGGTTTGAGGGAGAAAGAGCCCAAAAAGGAACAAATTCCCTTGAGAATTAAGGGCAGCAAAGCCGCTGTAATTCCCACCGCGGCGATTTCCAGGGTGGCTGAGCTGATCCAGCCATGGATTAGCTGCAGGGTCAAGGGCAGGACAGGGCTGCAAGGTTGCAGTGTTTGGTGGCAGCAGTGCAGCAG